TTGGAAGTTCACTAAAGTTTGCAAACTTGATAACATTAAAGGACCAAAATTACTTAGCAATATATATTTAAGAGTAAACCTTGTTTAATTTCTCTCTAGTTAAATTGCCTTGTGCATTTGATTGAGTTTGACACGTATGAAAGTTCAATTTCAATCATAGAGGCAAAAAATTAATACTAATAATTAATAGCATAGGTCAAAGAAACTCAAATATCAGCCATAAAACAAAGCAAATATTTCTATTGATTCATCAACACACACACATTTTTGGTCAAGTGGGACACCTAAAGATTTCAATAATTTTCATTTCAAATTACATAAGCTAATGAACACATCAAGATTTTTGAGTGAATGGATGAGTATAAATCCATATATTACCTATTCCCCCACTTCCACATGGCAATCCTACTTCATCACAAATTCACAAACACACTATACCCCATCCCCCCTTAAAGTTACCATGTAACTCCGGAAAATCGATACGATGCATATGTAAATTCAGAATTTTGAATTTTTAGAAATGCAATTTAGTGGTACCACGTGGATAATACATAAAATAATATCGGTGATAATCGTGTCACAAAATTAGATTCATGTTCTTTTATTTCTCTCTACACACGTCACAAGTACAATATCATGTCCCAAGACATAATCAAGTCCTAAAAAGGATAGGGTATACACAAAGCTTATTCTTATTTTGTCTGAAGTAAAGAGAATATATTTGATACACGTTAAATTTATTTTGAAGTTAATTAATTTTGTAATTTTGATTAAAAAAACAAAAACTATAACCATATATGGGATATTATTACCCCAATATTTTGTCCAACACCTAGTGCATTATTAGGTCTCTTCAAAAATGCCTATAAAAAGGCACCAACCTCTATCAAACTTCCTAGATACAAATTACAAACCCTTCTCCTCCATATTTCAAAAAAGTAAAGGACAAAAAGATCATACAGAAAAACAAGAAAAAAAAATAATGAAGTACCAAAAGTTATTACAAAATTTGGCCAAATTTATGGAGAAATTCACTCAACTATTTGCTTCAATTTCATTATTTTCATTCCTATTTTCCTACTACTCATCTTACTTCTCATCCTTCTTTATCTATTATCAAATAAACTTTTCATTTTCTACATTTCCATTCCAACTTCTAAACCATGCTATGGACAAAAATTATGTATTTCTAATATGCAATGGTATATTCTTGGTCCTCCTCGCTAATACTTATAGCGAGGAGGAGAAGAAAGAAGAAGATGGATTCCTGAACGAATTTCAAGAACCCGAGTTATCTCTATGCATTGGTACTCGAGCCTCGTGTCTAGAAGCATCAAAAGAAGAAGTACATGCACAACAACGCGAAGATGAAATGATCATACAACTCAGTAAGTCTCCAATAGACGTTGAAAACTCAATTATGACAATTGTGGAATATAATAAGCAAGATGAGGCAACGTTGGAAGGGGAAGAATGTTCTAGAACCTACGAGATCATAGAGGTAGATAATTATGAAGAAAATGAATTTTTTAGTGAAGAAGAAAATGATGATGAGCCATTGAATAAGTTGAGTAATGAGGAATTGAATAAAAAATTTGAAGAATTCATAACAAAAATGAAGGAAGAAATAAGAATTGAAGCTCGTCAACAATTAGTTCTCGTTAAATAATTAATCAAAATGTCGAGCTGTGCCGAAATCGTCATTAATACTTGTATTAGAATAGACTGTCTACATCACATTTTCTGAAATATTACAAATTTTTCATATTCTACACTATTAATGCGAGATATTTTACGCAACGAGATGCTAAAGTAATTAATCAAAATATTCATCGTTATTTTTCTATGAGTATTATTATTATTATTTTGCTTTACATTTTCTAGATAATTAAGGTACGTAGTTGTAATTAATTCTACGAATGTACATTATTATAGTTTGTCTTTGATGAAATTGTTGTTTATTATATTCCACGTTGCATCCACGTACAAGAAAATTGGATGACATTTAATTTTAGTTTAACCATAAGCAAGTAAAAAAATACTAAACTTGTCCCAATTAGAAACATTCACAATTAATTCGAAAGCTTAGTCATTACTGTACTGACTGCGACAATATTGTATAACTAATTAAATTTAAGTTATATAAATCGATAATGTTATATATTTTTACTTTATCAAATTAACTTAGTTGTTCGTAGATTATTTTTTTTTAAAATACTATATCAAATTCGAAAAATAAAGATATCAATTATTATACATGAACATAATTGCATGATGTAAAAAATACAAAAAAAAAATAAAATTAGCTTCGATGATTTGATTTTACAAGTAAATATGAGCTAAGCCCTACTAAAGTCGATTAATATTTTGGCTTAAAGAAAGTTAATTTGATCAAATCTGGATTATTATTGTTTATGTGAAGATAATTCTTATCACTACTGAGACAATTGATAATTCTTTAATTGACTAGAATATTATTTTTTATGAACAAATAATTGATCATTCTTATTTTTTTTTAAACGTGTAAAAAATAAATTTCGCTTCAGTATGATAGTGCGCTATTTATATAAGGGATTAATCGTAGACAAGCGTTGTATGATAAGCTCAACCAAAAAATTTATGCTTTCAACTTTAAAATCTTCAAAAAATATTAAGTTCAATCGACTCGATTATTTTTACGATAAATTTTATCTGAATATTCTTTAGTAATTGTAAAGATTCTTTTCCTTAATTATTAGGATGGCTTGATTCTTGAAGTGTCTACAATCATAGATGTCAGTGTGGGAATAATAATAAAATAGTCAATTGTTAATTAAGAAATCCACATGCAATGTATTTTATAATAATAAGAATTTACGTTATAAATTTGTATATATAATAAATATATTTGATAATTAATCTAATTCAAAGAGTAAATTTTTGCTCAATTGGATTTGTTGGATCATTTGAGAAGTATATCACATTTTACATAACTAGAAGCAATGAATATTGTAAGCACACAATATTTAAATCTTGATGGTTATAATAGGTGTATAAACTAGAGATAATAATTTCTAAAAATAAAAAATGTGTCTAATATATATTTAAAATATATTTTAATTTTTTTGAAAATTCTTACTTAATTACTGCAAACCATATAATTAAACTACGTAAGAGTTATTCCTATGTAAACATTCTAATTGCACATTTTTAAGTTTAACAAAATTATTTGAGATATAATCCATTCGTTTGCAAATGAATTCTATCATCTATGAAAGGAATAGATGTATAATATACGTATGATCTATGTATACTGAATAAAAAAATAAACAATAAATCTAATGATTATTAATTTAACTTGTGAAATACCCATCGAAAATGAAAAAAAAAAATAATACCAAATAATCAATTATATATAAAGGGACAACCAAATAAAAATATAGCTTAAATCTCATTTCCTAAAATCCATATATAAAAAGACAGAAAAATGTACGTAAAGCCCTTAGGAAAATAACCCCTTTTTCAACTTTATTACAACAATAGACACTTTCAATGCACTAATTGATAACACAAATTAAATTATTCTTGTGATTGAAAGTGACTAAAATTGTCATCTTCTAGACTTTTTAGATGTACACGTGGCATGCAATTTTATAATTTTATACTTGAAATCTTTGTATATTTGTGGCTATAAATTTTTATAATTTTTACCTTTCAATTTCAAGAACCTCATATGAATTTGTATGATAGAAGGGTTCTTTTGGCTACTATTTAAATGGGACCTCTTTCAACTATGGTCAATCTCATAATAAATGAAATGTTTGAAATTATCAATTACGTAGACATGATATAAATTTAATTTGCATAAATACAGTTGATCGACATGACATATGCATCTCATAAAAATGTAATGAGATATATATTGATTAGTTTCAATCATAATTTTATAAATTTTTTTAAAAATTATTTGAGTTTGTAGTCAGAATTGACAAATTTAAAAAAAAAATCATTTTAGGCCTTATGTAAAACTTCAAACAAATATATGAATAATTGATTTTTTTTTCAACTTTAGTTTCATAATCTAAAGTTGATTCTAAACTGGTTAAATTTGTAAATAAAAGAAAAGTGAAAGAAGTTAAAACAATATGTTCTTTTTTTCGTTATACCTTAAATGGGGATCGTAAAATTATTCACTCACCTAGATGTCTTATATATTACATTTATATCGAACTCATATCACTTCAAGTATTGATGTATGTAAATTTGACAGACACGTACATTTGTTATTAGTAAATCTATTCAATCTCGATTAAAATTTCATGTATTAATCAACTGAACAACTTAACAATTTTCGTGATATTCTTGATTTGTACAATCGTCTCGAATCATTATAAGTTACTAAATCTATATGACTCCCGATCACCATCCCCTCTTCTAAATCTTTATTTATACTAACTGCATATTTTATTTTATTTTATCATTTCTCATCCGACGTTAAATATCCATATCAGAGTCTAACTATTCTATATCATCTATAACCAAATTAGTGAAAGGTCGGTAAGATCTAGAAAGGACTTCAATTGAAAAAGACCCCTCATAATATATCCGACAAACTTCATTTTATTACTACTTGTACCTTTGATTTATGACCATTGGAAATTCTTTTTTCTTGAATTTTAGCACTTTAACAGCAACAAAAAGAAGACAAAGTTCTTGGATATTCTTTCGATAATTAACACTAAGTTTAACATGAACATAATAGTTTAACTTAAAATCGATGCAGAAATTCATATATTTTTAATTCTGAATCGACATCTGAATATAACTATGTTAGACAAAAGGTAGAGCTAATCAGGACTTCTAACTTAAAGTCATTCCTTTTTGCAATTTTGTCAAGATGTGAATTATTGGATATGATGATTGATGTGTATGGAACTCCTTCACAAACAAATTGAGCCAAATTACAATGATTTGGAAGAATATGACAAACAAGGGAAAAAGTTAGATAGCATTGTTTCATGTTCAATTAAGAAAAAAATCATTCATTCATCAATCAAAGATATTCTATACGTAACAAAGACATATTAGATATAAACTTCTATTCTTCATTTAGGTTTACATATTAGACATAAGAAAAATGATGTTTCGTAATAGTGTATGTTGGATCAAATCCTAACGAAAAAAATACTGAGCTCAGGACCGCTGGTGCCATTGGGATTCATCATATAGTACGTCTCTGAGTCCTTTGATCCAACTGTTCGTTCAAAGAAAGCTCTCATATACGTGAGTTCTCCCTCCGAGGACTCGGATGGTAGAACGCCAGCTCCCATTGATACAGCATGCAAATTCTGCATTACTTTAAGATCATCTTCTGTAGGTCCTCTTTTTACTGCATACCCAACTTTACGTCCATTGCAATACATAGTCCATATAGGTTCATCGATGAGTTTGAGTTTCTCCGAGTGATTCTTTTCACACTCGAGAGCAATTCTCACTAGTCCTGATCCCATATCCTGGAGGAGTTTACCTGTTTGTATGGACAGTTCAAGTACAAGCAATGGAACACCCCTTGGATTCTCTTGAATTGAAAGATTAACTCTAGCTTTTCGAAAACCAAAAAGAGTACCTGTCATCTGTTTACCTCCATGGATATGACCTTCGTGCAGACGGTTAGAAACTGGCATTTTGCAAGGAGGGTTTATTACAGGGAATGAACGGAAAACTGACTTTACACGACGAAAGAGTTTTGTGGATTTCCATTGACCCTTTTTGTGAGATGGTTGTTGTAATAGAACTGGAGTAGGAGGTAACCTGGGTGACGAACTATCTGGAGCAACCACATTTCGTGGTTTAGAAGGAAGTGTTTTTGGTGATGGCATAATTGTGTGTGTGTGTGTTTTGTTGAAACAGAGGAAGTGTGTAAATATATGATTGTGCCATAGACGTGGTGGTGGTGCTTAGGGAATGGAATATGAAGTGGAAAGCACGTATGTTTGAAATACCAAAGCCATTTCATAAGTACTTCTTTTTAAAAAATGGGTAAATGATTGGAAGTTCTAATAAACTATACTTCATTAATTGTGTTAGTTTGACTATATGGTTCTGTACATATTCGTTTCTTTCTATGAACAAATAATAGCATGTAAATCATCAAATTAGAGGATTTGTAGGGATGGATATAATGAACAAGAGTATACACGTACACAACAATTATACACATCAAACAAGAAGCATTATTCATTAGGCCATTGGGTTGAGAATGACATTTCAATAATTTGTTCCAATCAAATTGTATATCCAGGAGGAATGTGAATCTAATTGTGAGGACACACATATCTAACAGTACAATTATGAACACATTAAAAGGGAGCATTGGCGTAACTGGTAAAATTGTGATTCAAACTCTGGAAACAACCTCTTATAGAAATGCAGGGCTTGTGGTCTGGCCCTTCCCCGGGAAAAACCTATGTTGTTTGAACTCTTCAAAAATGTTGATAGGTGCATGTCTGATCATTCAAAAGTAATGCATATTTAGGAGGATCAGACACGAGTGCAACAACTTTTGAAGAGTCCAAGAAATGTTGTTAAAAAGGGCTATGAAGAAAGAAATGAAATTGCAAGGCTTTTAAAACTATACATAGTAAAGGTTGTTCATATTAAACACTGGAAAATATAGGGCATAGTACTTCAGCAGCAACAAATATACTTACCAAAGTAAAGCATCAGCTACCTTGATGAAAATAGTGCAGATGAAGCTGTTTAACTTTGAATAAAACGAAAACATATTCAAATTATAACTACCCTTTAGATATATAAATGTTCTCTTAGTAAAAAAAAATTAATAAGAAAAATTCACGCAAACAACTTCTTGTTGTCATGGTGAAAGCCAACGAGCCATTAAAATCTCTCTGGTTCTCTACATATAATAGCTGTTGTACGGCCTACAATGACAAGATTTATAAGAAATCAAGAAAAACTCAACCAAATTCAGGAATGAAAATACATGATTTCGAATTTTTCTCAATTCTTATGCAGATATAGCCTAAAAAGTAGGTCGAAAAGGAAGTCTCCGAAGCAAGGGGCAATGGATGTTCAATAAGGCTAAGTAATTAAACATGTTCTATTCAATGGCGGAGACACCATTTAGTAAGGAATGCCCTCCAACACAAGCAAAAGGAATTTCCTTTTATATATGTCTGCGTATATTTTACCTACATACTATATAATAGACGAACAATACTTGAAAATAGTATAAAATAAATGTAAACATCAAAATCAACATTTTCCTAACCCCTTTATTCAAACAAAACAAAAGGCGTAAATTCTATCAACAACAACAACAACAGAATGTAACATAAACAAGCAAATCTTTACAAAAAGAAGCAATACACAACAAGTACTACGAAGAATGATATTACGTTGCTAAAGTTGAAGTTGTCATCTTCATATGTTGGAACATACCTAGGTGATGGCAGAGCACCGGAGTAATAGTTGGTGGCATAGGAGTCTTGTGCAGTCCCCCTAAAAGGATATTGGTAATTGTGGTGTCCCTCATAGCCATAATTATATTCAGGCAACGATCTTCTTTGCATAAAAGGACCACCAATAGAACTATAGCCATGGCCATGGCCATGACCGTGGCCATAACTGTTATAACCGTAGCCAGGATTATACGAACCATATCCGTGATTATGAGAGCCATATCCATGATTATAAGAGCCATATCCATGATTGTAGGAACCGTATCCATCAGTCATATGACTATTACTCAACATTGGGTGCTTAAGTCTCACCCACTTCACCTCTGCATGGTTGCCAAGGCCTGATCTTGACAACGCCCTCAAGAGAAGGTTCGGATCAACTTCACCAGAAATCTTGGCTGTCCCATCTTCAGAGTCTATTGTGACAGAATAAACACCTATACAATAAATAAAAATGTGTTAAAAGCAAATAAACCATAGTTGTATTCTCTTCTTGAAGGCCCCTTATAGTGAGTTCATGGACAGAGCTACATGTTTCGAAGAGGATTTAATCATCTTTGTTAGAGAATTACAGTATACAAATAGGGTGAAATCAATATTTTATGTATTCTCTTGATCAACGGGTACAACTAGGAGTCTTCGACACAATAGATGTAGGTTCAATTCTCGTTATCCCCCTTCCCATACCCTTCCATGACTCTCACTGAACTAAGAAAAAGGTAAAAAATCTTCTAAATATAAGTGAAGGTTTTAGTTTAGTGGTAAAGGTGACCTAAAAATTGCTCTAGGGATGATATTCTTTGCATCATTTTGATCCTATTATTACTAGACATTTTTGCTCCCTACAAACAACATATTTAGTGACCTTTATAACAATATTAATCAATTAGCCATACTAAGTACACTCTTTCATATTTGCATAAAAAGGGACAGAATGAATAGAAGAAAGCCGCTTAATCATATTTTCCTTCTATATTCCTTCAACTTCAAAGAGCCAAAAACCATGGAAGTTTAAATTTCATAAACTTGGTGGTTTATTTTTATCTGTTAAACTGTAGGTGGACGACAAAGTTATCCATCAACTAGATGTGGAATTAGTCAAGATACAAACAAACAGGCTCATACACTATGATTATTGAAAAGAAAAAACAAGTTCAACTAAGCAATAACAGCATATAGTACATATTACCGCATATAGAACTCAAAACATCTACCATCTTCATCTTGCATGCATCACAATGAACGTCCACTTTCAAAATACAGCCCTAAAAAAAAGACATAATTGATAAAAAAAAATTACAACTTTTTACTAACTAAAGGAGATTTTTTATTATTATTATTGAAAGTGAAACATACCAATTCAGCAAAGGGTTCCATTGAATCAAATGAAAGAGCTAATAGAGTTGATTGAGAAAAAAAATGGAGGACAAATTAACGAGTGCAATGTAAGTATAGGTAGAATTATTGTTTGTTTATGAAGATATTCCCTCGTGATTAAAAGGAGAAAGAAAATTGGATAATTATACCAAAGATTTTATTACCATTTTCATATAACAAACCAAGTACTAAATTCTCTGCATTTGGTTTTATTTTTGTCATGTTTAAGTAATTTATAAATCAAATCTTTACCAAGATTTTCTTCTTATTATTTATGTCACGGAAATATTTATTATTATTAATGTTATTCTATATTTTTATTGTTACTTTTGAGATTTTCAGTAGAATACTCTGAATCTATTCTGCTTGGTCTTTATTTTCTTTTAATTTTTAATTAATCCTTTATCACATGTTGTATTGGTGTCAAACTTGATCAATAATTTGCACATTAATTGCCCAAATATTCATTAGTGAATGACGTCATTATTTAAGGAATATGATGATTGCAACCAAATTAATTCATTCCTAAAGATGAATCAACCTAGGTTGAGGAAGTTTTATAAAACTAGATCAAAACAAACAAAATATTTTTCAAAGTGTTATCTAATTTTGGTTTGTAATAAAAATAAATTACTTTAGCAATTCAAATGTATAGGTAAAATGTGACTTTGCATAAGACAAATTGAGTCTGTTATCAGAATCCATAAATGAGTTTGAGCATGTGTTGGTTTTCTTTTTGCATGACGAAGACATATAATCATTGTTCAATATCAAACTACTGGGTTCTTCTTGCATCTTAGCCAATTACTACGTTCATAATCTCTTCGTGTAAAAAAATTACACACAATCAAATGACTAATAAAGTATTTACAAACATGATATCCGTACGTCAGTATATATAACTTGAATCCTTTTTAAAAGTTTGTATTTCTTATTGTCTACATTATCATGATTCTATTTTCCTGGGAAAAACAACAACCAATATAGTGTCATAACAAGTTAAACACGGAAATTTAACTTACATCACTAATAAATTTAAGAATTAAGGCTAATTGGGGTCTTCAATCTATTCTGATGTAGTATCATTTGATTCAGCGACAAAATTTTCAATCTGCTTAATGTTAATGCACATTAGTATCTCGATATCCACAACAACTGGTCGTGAAAAACTTAATAGCCAAAACGGCGGAACAGGATGAATTTGACATAAGTGACTAATCGGTTGTTCTTTCAAATAATATTTCCGCGAGCACATCAAAAATACCGAGATAGAAAAGATTTAGATATACCCTCCATTGTGGATCTTTGATGGTAGATACTCATGGGACAAGAAAGTGAGTGAATGCACAGACAATGCTTCAATCTCAAACTTAACTCCTTTGTGCAACAGCAGCTCCAGTTCAAACCTTAGGACATGAAGAACAGTGATATGAATATTTTCAGAACCCGAAGTCTTGGCATTAACATTACTTAGTAGTATGAAATTCTACCTCCATTGTGGTACTTCTCTTTGCAAATAACATCTAGGTAACATTGCTTCGATTTTCCTCTTATCTGACAAGATTACACAGCCACTCATTTGTGAGGAGTTGCTTTGACAAAAAGCTATAATGAAACGAGATGATGATTGTGTGAATGTTACCTTCAGCAGTTAAAGGCAGGAGACATTGCTGTGGAATGCTATAATTGTCACAATCCTGGACAAATACTCCAAGCCATTGTATCTCAGAGACTCGTAGAAATGTTGCGTCATAAGCCATTTGCTTCAAAAAAGTTACAGATATGTGTTACCGAAGAACACATCCTTCTATTAATCCATTAAATCTAACTACTCCGGTACTTCATACACTTCAACTTAAGTGTCTCGCGTAGTTACTATCAAGATATAAGAATGAATGCTTGATAGCTCGTGATAGGAAAACGGTGATGAATGTATGACTTTTCTTCTAGAAATGTGAACATAAGTGAAAAGGAGGTGTGTTAGCAACTTGTTCATATCATAATAACACCAAATTGAGTAATCCTTACCAAAGAACCGAATTTGTATGTAGTTAAGATGTCAAAGCCATATGGATCACAATCTACCAGGCCGTACACAGGCAAATGCAGCTTGTCAATGAGGAGACGCAGAAACCTACCACAGGCAAGCAACATGAAAAGACAGAAATATGATTAATTGATGTAGGATTCATCTGCAACAAGTCTGACAAGGTGAGCAACATGGGTCTAACCTCCTTGTGGGAACATCAGGATAACCCCTTCCCTGTTCAAAAAGAAATTATGGAGTCAAGTATGTGTGGAAATTCTCAGAAAACAAAAGATGCGTACTGTTATCACAATGCAACGGTTCCTCTTGCAAAACTGATCATTTGCTAGTCGCTGGAATACTGCATGATGGACAACAAATAATGGCCTCACTTAAGAACTAGGAATACCTTTCATGACTCTGTTATAGCCTTGAACTGCTTATAAATAGTTTTACCTGATTCCTTCTCCACAACTATAACGTATTGAGCAACGCTAATAATATCTTGTTCAAGCATTAAGGGAGTAACAGTTACAGCCATAGCCTGACAAAGCAATCCATAAAGTCAAATAACATGATATATTCAATAACAAAGCATCCATTTATGTTTAGCAATAACTGGACATGCACATGTATGAAGTCCACAAACTCATGCTCAAATATAACCACGTTGTGTTCATAATTCGAATACTTATACTCATAAGGATACCATCAACTTCTTCAACAAGGACTGGAATGGGGTATGCCTGCAGGAACCATCATAATTAGATTGTTACACAACTACAGAAACCCATCTTAGCTTCTACTTATCATTCTTACGGTGTTAGGATTGCTAATGCAGTCAATTTTCCTCCCAGATTCCACATACCGCAGCCAGCCCATCACCAATCTAGACCAAAAATAGTTGGAAGAAGAATTTTATGACCGAGAACTAAAGGAACTATTACAATATACACAAAGAAGAAAACCAACTATATATCCGTCTTGGGGAACAAAAATTGTCATGAGCAAAATGCAACAACAGTAGATTTATTGTGAATTTCACTGGTGAGTGTTTAAACTTGATCTACACCTACCACCAATATCTTTAAAAGTAGGCCAAAAATGATGATGCAATAGTACTCCTTGAGAGTTGACATGCTTTCTCCGGGTTATCATTAAATTTTACCTTGCTAAAAGTGCAAAAGCTTATTGTAACATGATAGACTATGTCAACACTCTCAATCATGAAGTAACTTTGCTCCCCAAAAAGAAATTTAGATACATAATGTAGCAACATTCAGACAATGCAAGAGGTATAAACATAATCAACTGAAGAAGAAACATTTGAATTTTCAAGAAGAAAAGATGGGGAATTATAAATGTCAAGTATGAGAAAGAACATTGCATATAATGAACTCAAACTGTATGTGTCTAGAATCACACTCCTGCAAGGAAATATTAACTGTGTAGAGGTACGCACCCATTCCCAACAGACACCTGCAGAAGGCAAGCATCAAAAGTATATAAAATGTCAAGTTTCCTACAAGACTAGCAATAAAAGAAGAACAAACTAATCATTTGAATGATGGGTTTACCCTAGTCTAGCAATATCATTTTCATTCTCTGAAATTGATATTCAAGTTCTATATGAGAACAGTATTCACATCCTTCTAATCAACTACACTAGAGAAGGCAGAGTTAGATACTTGTGATCTACCGTTTCGTGTGTCAAAAGCATGTATAAGTAGCAGAATGACCACTTCTAATATCAATATTCTGAACCCTAATTGAATCCTCCACTGTGAAAATGAACATCTTGCTAAATAAAAATAGAAGAGAATTTCAACGGGCTCTGCTAATAGTGAGGACATGTGGATATACATCTAAAATGAGTGTATTTTGATATGGAGAGGAAAGTAGATTGACATACCACATTAAGGTTATGCCGACTGCATTGCAAGAGGATGCATATGTCATTAATTGCCCGATCAACAACAGATTGTTCTGCATTATGGAGTGCAAAAGAAAATGATGAGCATATAAGGAAGACGAGATCTTTGAATACATAAATTTTGCATTAGAGATCTAAATCATGGCAGATTTCTACCAACTGAGAACGCTGAACAATACAACAGCACATACGAATTTTCCACCGAATAAAAACTTCATAAGCAATCACAAGAATATTTCAAAACTGATTCTGGAGTACATAAAGTCCAACCATGTCCTACGAAATTAACAGGGGAGTAACAACTTTGTAACACCAGAGGCCGATTCAGATTTACCTTTAAAAACAGTAGGATGCATGTAATATATGTCTCTTTTTGATCCATGCCTGTTTTCTTGCAGAAGTTGTTGAACTATCAGTAGAACTCTCAACATAACATCTGAAACAAAAACATAAAGAGGAAGTAACCATGCAAGGTTCTAAGATGTTAAGGAGATTGGAGAGCAAAAAGTGCCTTCAAGTTGATTCGACCAAACAGAAAAGATAACTGAGGGAGAAACCTTGTACTACCCCATCCCAATCCCCGTCCCCCACCCTACATGGTGCATCCTGTGTAACATCAATGAAAGGGAGGCTCATATAGGACAACAAAAGTATAGAAAATCAACTAAACGGGGAAATATAGTTCTCCTGGAAATTTTGTCATTTTCAGTGAGGATAGCAACTTTTAATAATCATTCCTACCCCATTCTTGATCATTTCATTTCTTGTCAACTATGTAATGAGGACTATAGATGAAATATACAAGTATTGTTTACTCTCCCTAGACTCACCAAGCCTACGTGCATGGCATTCCCTCTTCAAGGAAATAGCTTCCTTGCCAGTCGATAAACCGGAGCTGCAAGAGCTACATAAATAAAACAAAAACCATTAATACTATCAGAAAATTTGGATGGTATTAATTAGCCATTCAAACACCAACTTCAATAAATTTCATTGTTTTTAGAACTCTGTTCAACGTAACTATTACTAATTGTACTTATTAGTGTCTTAGAATAGGATTAGGATATGGCTTCTACAAACAAACTTCTCAGTATAGACTGTGCTCGTTCTTCTTCTGAGCAAGACATTTAGAATAATGATATCTCTACATTTTATTTTTTGTAAGGGTTTGTTTTGGGGGTGCTGGGGGCGTTTTACACCTATGTGGATCTTCATCAGTTGCAATTTTCAGTTCAATTACGTCAAGGAGAATCTGTTTGGAGGCCTTGTAATACAGAAAGGAATCATACATTCCTGTATTTCTATCAATAGATAGGAAATCAACAATAATTCAGTAAAATTTTGTGTTAGAATTCTAAAACATTAATTGCAATGAAATTTCAGACCGCAGAACACATTCATTTTTTTCAACTAGATCTTTGAAAAAGAAGGAAAGAAGAAAAAAACTTCGCTAAGTTTAACTTTATTGATAATTTCATATACTCAAGCAACCAAATAACATTCTCACACACATATGCGTCTTGCCGATTTTCAGAAGTATCAGTAGATAAATTTCTGAACCAATGGAGGTAGTTTTTTTATTAATTCATAGGAAATCGACAGCTAAATTCAGTGTTAGTTTTTGAGTTTTCTAAAACACTATTTGCAATGAAATTTTCAACTGCAACATACATTTATTGTTTTCAACCAGATCTTCGAATAAGAAGGAACAGATAACAAAAAAGCACTTCACTACGCATAACTTGACTGATCATTTCATATACTCATACATACACTGCGTCTTACCAATTTCCAGAAGTGTCAGTACAGTAATTTCTGAACCGTTCGATGTAGATCAGCGGCGGCCTACCTCGAGCGAGATCCTCAACAATGGAACGAGTAAATCCTGCAAAACAAAACCAAAGTATATGTGGCTTAAACGCGAAGAAGATTTGTTGAGAATCAATGTATTGAACGCGAGAATCGTAATGCATTTCTCAGAAAAAATTTAAGTTCAATGGAAGCGCTAGCTACCTTTGATTTTCCTTAAGAGTGTTAGTGGCCGCGTGTTTGAACGCTTTCCCTCCATTTCCTCTTCGCTCTGCAGGTTCACGTTGTTTGTAAATTGGTAAAGCCGAGCTTTATAGCTGCGCGCGCAAGTTAGCTCGGCGTGTTGGGCATGAAGGTTAATATTTTAGAAAAAAAAATATTTTAGAAATTTTTATATTTTATTAACTTAAAATATTTTGAAAAATATTTTTTCAATATGAGATATAATAACTATTCCACTTAAAATTAAGAAAAAAAATTCGAACCTCACCACCAACCCTATCCATTCAAGGAACCAACTTTTGATCTCAACCCTCACTCAATACCTAACTCTTGATCTTGATCTTTAGCTTGACCTCAACCTCAAGCCCTATTTCCAACCTTGAGTTGGGATCTAACTTCATGATTTCCAACACTGACTTTGATTCGAGACGTAGCGCGGACCTACCTAGTTGCTTGAGGGTGTATTAATCATAACTTACTGGATGCATTGATTAAATTTATGGCGTTATATTGCATAGGTTTTTTATTTCTTTTTAAGTCATGATGCCCCCTCTGTTTTAATTTTTGAATTAGTCTTGAATTCGAGACTCAACCCCAATTTCAATTCAAGACTTGACTTGACCTCGATTTGGTACTCGACCTTGACTTGAGATTAAGGTCCAATAATCTCGGCTCGAGGTTGGATTTCCGATCTCGATTTGAAATCATGATTGAGATTGAGTCTCAAACCACTGCTTGACCTAGGTTTCGGCTCGAGATTGAATATTCTAGAACAACATTTGTTGGAGACTTTCACTTTGAATAATGTAGAATGAAACTCAAATACAAGACAAAATCAATATTTTGATCACTTCAACGTCAGATTGGCCAAAAAAATTATTGATCTAAATACAGTTTGACTATGAAAAAGGTAAGATAATTAAGCTCCACCTTCTTTTTGTTACTAAATAAGAAAAAGAGCAGATCAAGTATCCTCACACATTTCAATATGTTTTTTTCAAGAACTTTTTATAGCAAGTAACGAAATTATGCAGGAAATCTTTATTGATGGTCACATGAACTGCTCATGTTTTTGTACGATCCCTTAATTTTTTGACGATATCTAACAGAAGATAAAAACTGTTCGCTTTTAAATATTTGAAGGTTGTAATCTAAATTTGTGGTATAGTTTAGGGATGGTTTTGACAAAAAACTCATATTTTCTTTGTAGTAACCAAATGCTAAAAAATAAGTAGGAAAATCATTTATTTATTAGAAAATACATAAAATCCCCCTCAAACTTGTCACCAAAACTCACTTTAGCACTGTAATTTTACGGATGTTTAAGTACTCCCTTAGAAAATTTGCAAGTGAATTGAATAACACCTCAACGGCTAACATGACAAATTAAAAAAACAAAGGTGCGTAAACAAAAAAAAAATTAAAAAAAATAGAACCAGTGGGTCTCACTTTGTCTTCTATGACTCTATGTTTCATCTCCTCTTTCTGGTTTTAACTCTCTCTCTCTATTCCCTCGATTTTAACTCTCTCTCTCTATCTATCCCTCGATGGAGAAATTTCGATGACAACTACTCGCCGGCAAGTTCAATATTGCTCAATCACGAAGGACATCATTATCACTCCCTTTGTTACTCGTTTATCATTGCTTTATAAGAGATCAACCACCCGATCTCATTAAAAAATTTCACTATTTTAGTAACTTGGACTAAACGCCGGTTCTAATCATCTCTAGCTTCAATGATATATATATATATATATATATATATATATTCAAAATTATTAGAAAATCATGTTGTTTGTGTTAGTTTTCTATCTAGCTAAGGAACTTTTAATTTTAGCACTGTACTGGAGAAATGGAACGGCGAAGGAGACGAGCAACACTGAAAATGGGAACAAAAAATTGTATGGAAGAATTAAAAAAGTCAAAAAGAAAATATGATATGGATAAAGAAAAAAGAAAATAAAACTAAATCGTTTCTCCATTGACACGTTGTCGACGTGTCACTGAGGTGGCGCTGATGTGGCCGCGTGTATATCACCTCCCAACCATGAAGTTTGTATTATATATATAAGGTTATATTTAATTCACCTGAAAGTTCTTTAAGGAGATACTTAAACATCCGTATAATTATAATGCTAAAGTGAATTTTACTAAAAATTTGAGGGGAATTTTATGTATTTTCCCTTTATTTATTTGATCATGAGTGTTACTCTTTTCTTTTTTTCATAATATTATTTCACTTTATTTGGAAATTACTATTTAGCACTAAAACTTTGATAAAACTTAAATTTTCCCGCACCGAATGAGTAAATAAAAAAACGAGGGAAAAGCCAAAACCAAATGACGACAGCTCTTGTAAGGGGACTGAAGAAGCTAATCGTGGTCGCAATTAATCGGAAGAAACTAAGGAAGATGGACGCCTGCAAGTTAAAGCTCCAATTGATGTCAAAGAATATTCGAGCTTGTTCCAGCAATTTCTTTACAGAAATCAGGGTTTAGGTAAGGATCGAAACATCTGATTTTTTTCTCGTAATTCAGATTACTATTTCATTATTTTTTTCTCCTGAACTTGCTCCTTCTATGAATGTTAAGGTAAATCTATGGATGCTTGCTCACTGAATTTTTTGTAGGAAGCTTTAATTTGCGATTTTGGTGTATCTGTGTTGTTGTGAGGTTTTGTGTATCATAACTCGTAAGGTGTTATTTCCCATTTAACGTGGATCCGTTAGTTAAATTTAGCTATGGAAGAACTCATACAAAAACTGAAGTTGGTTGAATTTGAGATATAGCCGTCAGTACTAGTTGTCGTAGTACTGCTCGATTTCTGATACTATATGTTTTTAATTTTTTTACTTCGATTATGTATTATTGTGTTGTAGTTACTGTTCAGAATATTTTGTTGTGCTTTTACTTTCATTTGCTGTTTTTTTTTATCTACCTACGAGGTAAGTATAAGATTAACGTATCTACTCTCCTTGGACTCAACTCTGTGGGACTAGATTGGTTATGCTGTTGTTGTTAAGATATAGCGGTAGAGATGGGGAGTTAAGAGAGAATCTGTGTTCTGTTTGATAAGTTAGTTTATTCAACCTCTAGTCACCAGTGTTTGAGTTTTGGTATTCATTTAACAAAAACTAATTTATCTTTCTTTATGTCTCTTTTTTCCTTTCGTGATAACGATAGTGTATAAGCCAGCTTGCACACACCTTGGTTAATTTTACGGGGTACTTGGTACCTTCTATTAGCATAGGTTGTGGTATGTAGTTGTTTCTCATTTGATGCGTGTTACATTCCATCATACCATGAATAGGTAAATTTGTGAGAACATTTGTATCTTCTTGGTTTCATTTAAAATCCTTTACTTAAGTTGACAGATACAGGAAGGATGTATGTGTGGGATGTTTAGATCTTTACCAAACCAGTTAAAAGGCTATAATTTTAGTAGAATAATGTACTAGTTGAGGAAACTGATGGTCTGTGAGCATGTGATTGTAGGATTTTATAGATTGTTTTTTGTTAAAGTCTCATGTAGAGTTCTCAGAGTGCAGGGCCACTAATCATTTCGCAGATATGATTAGCATGTCATTATTTACACAGTAGAGTATAAGGGATGAGAGATAAAGAAATCAAACTCTGTCACGAGCATCACATAGAAGAAAACTAATATTTCCAGACAAACGCTTGATTTTAGTTACTTGACAAGTTAACAACATAATGAAATGTGTTTGGATGTCTCAGCTAAACAGGATGAGTCCAACTTTACAGTGACCGCTTGGATTTGATATCTAATTTTTTGTCGTCAGTGCAAACTTTAGGTGTCTGGATGCATCTGTTTTTCTGTCTCTCGATGAGTTTTAAGAAAGACCGATCAAGTTCCATGCTTGTGTTCTTACTGGCCAGAGCTTTCTCTATCATCATGAGAAGTCAGTGGTAACATGCGCCTTCTTTTTATGTGAGCTAGCCTTCTAGGTTAAATGGATACTCTCAGTAACAGCAACCCAAATATATATCGCCATTGAACTGGAACTCTATTCATCAATGAGTATAAACCCATGTCAAAGTACTCCTATTGATTGTTAACCCTGCTGCGATGGACCTATCCTGGAAAGTTCGTTACTTGGTGGTATTGCCTGTGGCACGCGTTAAGGTTGTAGCTGTATCACAGAATAAGAACTAATAATTGACAGTCAAGGTAGTGTTTGCATGTGAAAAACATGAGAAAACTGTCTTTGTTAGTGTTTTGGTATTCGATGACAAGTCTCTCTGGCTAAGGAAAATCATTTAGCGTATGAGTTATGTCTTTATGATTTACTAAATTAAATGACTTTTCTTAAGCAGACACAATTTCTTGCAGGACTTCTTGAGGCTTCCAGGATGACTAACAGGGAAACAACCCAGCGCTTGTTGGATCAACTGCCTCAAACCCATCATACGGTTGGTCTTGGGAGAAAAAGATTTCGCCGATCTAAAAGTACTCCTGTGAGTGAAATTGCTCCGGTGGAAATTAATGAAATAAAGAATGAGCAATCACTTCTACATTCTAAATCAATTTTGGACAAACTCCACCCTAGTATTAGGAAAGTTATTGTTTACTTGGTTATATACTTGGGAATTGGTACCATTTGCTTTTATTTTGTTAGAAGCAAGATCAAGGGAAAGAAAATAGATGGCGTACTTGATTCCCTTTACTTTTGTGTTGTGACAATGACCACGGTTGGATATGGTGATTTGGTTCCCAACAGTGCAACTACCAAACTGTTTGCCTGTGTCTTTGTGTTCTCTGGGATGACACTTGTTGGACTGGTTCTAAGCAAAGCAGCAGATTACTTAGTGGAGAAGCAAGAAACACTATTAATTAAAGCACTGCATATGGGTTGTATAGTTGGTCCGGGTGAAATTTTAGAGGAGATTGAAACAAACAAAATAAGGTACAAGTGTTTCATGGTAGCGGCCTTCCTTATAACGCTCATAGTAATCGGGACAGTCGTCTTGGCTAGAGTTGAAAAGTTTGATACTGTAGATGCCTTTTATTGCGTATGTGCTACCATCACAACATTAGGATATGGAGACAAAAGCTTTTCAACCAAAGCAGGACGCATTTTTGCTATATTTTGGATTTTGACCGGCACTCTTTGTTTGGGTCGGTTCTTCCTTTATGTTGCTGAATGGAACACAGAAAAGAGACAGAAGGAGATTGTTAAATGGGTTCTTTCAAGAAGGACAACAAATGTGGATTTGGAGGAAGCTGATCTTGATGATGATGGGGTTGTAGGGTAAGTTCATTTGACTTTAAAGCATGCACCTATAATTAGATTGCAAAGCCCTTCTTGATCCACTTAATTCGAGTATTTACTCTAGTTTTGTACTCTCACCTTATTAACTTTGGTGTTGTAAACTGCACTCTTGCTTGTCGACACAGGTCAAATTGACGGCACCATTGTTTAAATATTGACTCTGTATTGTCTTTGTTAGTGTCATTATACCATTGTCGTAGCTTTTGATCCTAAGCATGTATTATTCTTTTCTCATTGTAAATCTCAATGCATACTACAAACTGTAATTCTGGTCTCCTTTTGTTTTTGTCGATTGCAAAGGGCTGCTGAATTTGTTATTTATAAACTTAAGGAGATGGGGAAGATCAACCAACAAGACGTCACAGCTGTATTGAAGGAATTTGAAAGTCTTGACGTTGATCAGTCTGGAACTTTGTCAACCGCGGATCTGGCACTCGCCCAATCATCTTGAACCGGGAGGTGATTGCTCTAAAACCTATATTAGTGTATTAAACAACCTTTTCCACCTATAACTATGAGTCTTTTTGAAACTTCTAGTGTATTAGTAGCATATTAGAAAACGTTCATATTTATAGAGTTTTTGACACAAGTCATGCAGTAAAACCCACTCAACTTAGTACTAGGTGAAATTTACACTTCTGAGAATCTCCATGTAGTCTTCTCAACTCCCTCTGTAAATTACTTGTACTTTCGTATGTAAAAAGTTAGCAAACTTCTTCCCTTGTCAAGGAATGTGATAGGTATCTGAGTTCTACAGTACAATTATTGATCCAGAGTTTTCCAACTCGAGATGTAAACATTTCGTGTTTCTTTTAACCATCTAGCATTTCAAACCAACATGACTAATCCAGATTCGTGTCTCTTTGGGCCCATTTAAGAGGAAAACTCTCTCTTATAGGAAATTTTTCATTCTTAGTGTTTAAATCCAAGACTTGTGATCAAAGGTGATGGATATCTATCCTATTGAAATCTCTTTGGGTTAAGCATTTGTTTGTCCGTCTACTTTGAACACTCAAAATTGACCATTTCCCGTGTGAAATGATATGGAATGGTTTGCTTACTTTGGAAATCCCAAACAAAAGAATCTACCCAGCCCCAGATGTAACCGTTCCTCATTTTGTTCACCATCAAAACTAACTCGACTAATCTAGATTCTCGTTGGGCTCATATACTCTCTCTACTAGGAATTTTTCCAATTTTTAATACTTTTTCTTTTTGGTGACTTGAAGTCTCGAACCGTAACCTTGATGTTGGAGGTAGAGGGTCCAATTGAGCAACCACTTGTCACTTAGGGGTCGTGTAACCATAATGCTTGAGGTAGAGGGTCCAACTGAGCAACGACTTGTCACTTAAGGGTCATTTAGTAGGATGTATAAAAAGTGTTGAATACGATAATACATGCATGAGTTGGGAGAGATTTTATGTATTATTTTATGAATGATATAAGGTTGAATAATTAATACATGAATAACTAATATCTACGTAAAATAATACATTGATTCCCTCCTGACTGCCCTTTACTTTGCTTATACCTGCATAATATCAACTACCAAACGATAACGACCCTTAGTGTTTGAATTTAATGAATCTTATTTACCCTACCATAATCTCATTTAAGTATTGATGGTCCATCCACTCCAAACACTCAAAAATATACCATTTTTGGTGTGAAATCCCATTATTCGTTTCACTTAATATTATTCTCAATCAGTCTTTACTGTATTGTGATAGGGAATTTTAGGGAGGCCGAAAGTGTATCATTGTGGACCCTAGTCCGACAAACATAGGTTGAAAGATTATGATGGCAAATAGAAATTTTAAGCAAGGATTAATTTATGGACCGATCGTACTCAGGCTTTAAAGTCCATATCCTAATAAGTGTGATTGTGGCCCAAACCCATTTTAAATGGAATCCCTCGGGGTCGGTTAATAAAGTGTATTAGAAAAATAATACATGTATTAGCTTTATATATTATTAGTATTTTGTTTGATACACTGTTCAAGCTATGTATTAACGCTTGCATTAGTGATGCCACTTTATTTGGTATTGAAGTATGTATAACTAACACATGAAAATATATAGTGTACAAAAGTTTTTAATGCATGCATTAGTATAATTAAAGGCATAATTGTCCTTTAAAACTTTTTTCACATACTTTCCACTAATTATTTTATCTTTGTAAATGAATATTATTATTTAGAAACTATAAAATGCATGTTATTTTTAGCATAATTACTACAAGCATTATTAATACACCATATTCAGCACTATTCTTATATATCCTATCAAACAAACCCATAGTATGAAACCGTAGATATACTCGATTTTGGTGTAATCATTCAAGTCATGCCTTATATTTATAAATTTTATCTATTTCGTACCATTTCAAATTGCTTTGTTTCAGATAAAATATTTGAAATTTTATATGACTATTTGTTTTAAAAGTTCATGCATGTATGATTGAAGTTCATCCTTTTATGCCTAAATTTTACAAAAATAAAAATGTGAGAACTTCTATTTTATGATAGTAATTAATAAAATGAGTTGTGAACCATAAAATTTTAGATTCTCTGTCTTAGCATAGATCATTAAAAAAAATCTGTGCGAAAGGATTTTTCCTAAATAAAATATGTATCTAAATTTGTTGAGAAATGGGTAGACGTACAAAATAAAATAAAATAAAATATAAAATATACCCATGTATTTTTTTTTTCCTTGAAAACTTAGCAATGAGCAAGTAATATAATAGTACCGTTAGGTGCCTAGTATGAAGACAAATTAGGTGAACCCACTAATTTTGTCTTCGAGAGGACTTAACGTTATGGTCGGTGTTCAGTAATTCACTTTAGGAATCCAACCATATTGCTAATATTGTTGTTTCCCTTTTTTTTTTTTTTTTTTTCCCCAAAAAATTGTGATTTTTTAGGTACATAGGATCAATAAAAAGGTAACATCATTTTAAGTCAACAATTCTCATCTAAATATAGTTAGATCAAGTCATCACATGTTAATGAGATAGTGTCATGTGAATTGAGACGAACAATAGTACGAAGAGGAGAGTTTACCAATGTTTTGCAGAAAATGAATAATTTAAAAATAATGTTGATATTGTATTCTATTTAGCTGGTGAAGCAGTAAAAACAGAGTTTTGTTCCCGAACTAGTTCAATATGAAAATATTCAAAAGTTGATTACTATATTAGAAATATCATTTTTAGACCTCGAAGATATTATTATTGTTATTGATCAATACTTTTTTCTATCGTATTTTTCTTGTGTAAGTATGGGTGGGGATAGTGTGTTCGGCCAATCATATTAAATATATGCATATAAATTAATTTAGAATTCAATAACGTGAAAGACTAAAATTCAAAATTCATTAATTTCAAACTCCGAATTCATAATCAAAAGAAAGGCCCCAAAGGTAAGGTGCAGGCCAATAATGCAAGTTAACATTATTCAGAAAATATACAAAAATTTAAAAAGAAAAAAAAAGTATCTAACTGAAAAAAAAAAACAGAAAATAAACCATTAATTTCACTTCACTCTACTTTACTACTTTCACCTTCTTCATCTTCTCCGTCTCCTTCATGTTCATGTAAATCATGTAGATGCGTTTGTAATTGTTCTTCGGGTTGACCCGCTACGAATTCCAAAATACCTTCACCGGTTTTCTCACCGGAAACCTCAGATACCGGCGGAGAAATCCATCCAAAGAGAACGACGGCGATTAGGAAGAGAGCAGTAGAGAGTAAGAGAGGCCAAAAATACTTAACAACATCGAGAAATCGAGGTGCTAGGTAAATAAGAGCGAAGATGAAAATCGTAAAACTAGATGCAATTAAGATGTGGAATTTGAATTTGAGAAGCAATTTTTGGATTTCCATGGCGGAAGAATTCGAAGTAATGAAATATTTTGGGCCCTTTTTTGTAGAGAAGAAAAAGAAGAGAGATAAAAGAAGAGTGAGAAATGGAGTGGTTTATGCTCTCTCTGCAAAGATTCTCTGCCGTAAAAAGTTTTTTTTTTTTTTTCCTAAGGACTGTACTGAAGCCTCAAGGACGAAACTCGAAATAATTATAATTTTTCTTTATTAAATTTAAGTAACGGTAATTAATTTATATTTTCGTTGAAACATTTTTATTTTAGGAATGGGTAAAAATTAGATGATATGAACGAGGTGTAAATATTAATTGGGTGATTTAATGATTTACCATAAAAAAAAAATGTTACTTAACCATACAGAAGTTACCTTAAGCTGACTAGATGGCCACTTTAGAGTCGAATCAACGTAGGGGTCCTTTTTTGTAATATGATGTGCGAGTAATCATTGGTAGCATGAATTACTCTCTCCGTTTTTATTTAGTTAATTTTAAAAATGACATATATATTAAGATAAGCATAGTAAAATTATAATTTTATTCTTATTAAACATAATTTCAAAAAGAATGAATTAAAATTTAGAAAATTTCAAAAAGTTTAAATGAGGATATAATAGAAAAAAAAATGAAGGTATAATAGGAGAAAAAGATTGTCTCCTTTTCTTGATTTGTCAAAATGGACAAGTAAATAAGAATAACTAAAAGAGAAAATATGAACAAGTAAATAGAGAAAGGTAAAAACGTTTAAATTTGTGCAAAGTAATTTTATAATTAAGTTACTCTAAATTTCAAGAATACAATTAATCAGATAAATTTCACAAGAAATTTAATTAAAGTAGGATTGATAGAAAAAGAATATATCAAAATAGTAAATTGAACAGAGTAAAAAGTGATTTGTAGTAGTAAAAATCGAAGTATATAAAGTTCGGTACCATAACAATCAACTACCTATTATTTTTCTATCGTAATCATTAGCCTTTATAACGTAGTCTTCCCTCCCTATTGAATTTTTTTGTTCAACCCTTTTCTCTCTTAACTACTTTTATATATATATATATATAGCTATTTTTATCTAAACTTTGCTTCTTTTATCTTATTTGTCAAGATTATTTTTACATTCTTTTGTGATGTGCCACTATCCATAAACATCGCATCGAACATCATTATTTCTATTATTTTCATCTTCTAGATGACTTATATGTTGTTAAACTACCAACACACTATTCAAATACCATTCACATACATATTTTTGAACTTGTGTAAAGAATAAAAGGTATTTGATTTATTTCACCCTATCAGCTTATTAACGGACTTGTCCTATCACTGATTTTGTCGGCCTTTTTAAATGTCTTGTAGCACTTTTTGGCACTCATCAATTTTTATTTTTTTATTTTTATAATGTAATCAGATCTAGCTGCACCTGATTGGTATAATCTATTACATAAAGTTATTCCTTATGGGAATAATCATATTTAAATCTCCTTTTTCATTTTTTTGAGCTCTTATTTTACGTTACTATTTATTCGATTAATTTAAATTTATATTACATAAGAGTTATTAAAGAAATTGAATATTGAAATGTTATATATAGATTATTTTGACAACTAATTTTTAGTGCAAAGAGAATAATATATTTCTTATCATGAATCTTCTTTTACATATATGAGCTTAAAAGAAAAAATAATTCTTTACCTTTTAATTTTTTTTGTTGTCGAAATGAAATTACTTTCGTATGGAAAGTTGTATATTCGATCATGGGAAGTTATAATGCAATCAACTTTAGTTGACATTTTATTCAACCCCTTTTACACTGTAACTTCTTATTGTGTAATAAAAATTTGAGTACTTGGAGAAAATACTCAAATTTAAGTTTTAAATATGAAATAATTATTATCTTTTAATGGATTTCATCTAATATGAATTTCTATTAGTTGGGG